ATGTGGGTACCGATGTCTCCTCTGTATTCTTCGTTTCAGTCGGTGGTCTGTATACGAATGCACGGCTCCTCGAGAGCGTACTGAAGAAGAAGCGTACTGGGAGAAGAAGGGGTGAAGAAAAATTGTTACAAATGATAGAAATATATATTAAAAATATATATAATATATATAAATATATATAATATATATAATATGTCCAGAGAATATCCGATGTTAAATTACGATTTAGATAAATTATTCCTGTAACATTTTAATTTGATCTCGTGCGAAATAACAAGTCAACGTACGATTTCTAGAGTCAGCAAACGAGGAGATGAATCACCTGCGTAATTAGCTAACGACTCGCACTGACCCGATAACGAAAAGTCTTACGTTTTAAAATTGGCAAGCTATGTCGTGGCGCGACGTGAATGTCCTAAATGGCGCTTAAATCGCGCGATAAACCCGTTTTATGTTACTATAAAGATATCAAGGGACAAAAATGTCGATGCGTGAGAGGCGAAGGCAGCATTATATAGGTAGCTAGTACTCGCCGCAGATAAACCGTACTATTATCCAGTACAACGGTCCAGTTCTGAAATGATGATCATGCTACTAAGGGAGACAAGGCTATCTGCCGTCCGGATGATGTATCTTATAATGACGCGCAGACGAACGATAATCGACTACTTTATTCCACAAATGCACACATGAATGTTATATGGTCGTTTTAACGTTATAGCGTTTCCGCAGCGTAATAACGACGAATTGACGATCCTTTTTTTATCCGTTCGCCCCTTAGCAGTAACGCGAGAGTCTTAATGCCCAAGAAACACCGTGATATCGTCTATCATACGCGCTCTATGACGTACTACAGTTGCTAGATTTTATTCCAATATTTTATTAATCTCGCGGGGATTTACGGCCGCTGTAAAACCTTGGGAATGAGCCAGCGAAGGTATGAAGTCGAGAGAGAGAGAGAGAGAGAGAGAGAAGTTAACGTTTTTACGACGGTTAGTAAGTAGAAT